TTTCCCTTTTGAACCCCTCTTTTTTCCTCCTCAGCTCCATATTTAAATACGTCCTTCATCCAAATCTCTTTCTTTGACTCCTCCATCTTATCTTTGTCCCCTGCTCATGGCCCTTCCATCCAACATTGTTTCCTCCTTCCTCCACTCTGAAGAGTGATTTCTCTTTTCTATTTTGTATCCCCATAATTTTTTCTTACAAGTGTGATCTTTGGTCATTGCAGGCAGTGTTGCTTACTCTCAAATGTTTCTGTGCTACTAGAAGATGCTCCAATTTGAAGTTTTCCAGTTGAGTGATCACATATAAAATACAATATTTAATGCTCATATATGTGAAAGACATGCCAAGTTTGCAAACTGCCAGCTTAGAATTATGTTTGGCTTTTTAAATGGCTAAGTAAAGTCATCATCCTTACATGGTGACTGTGAAACAAATCTGAACTATATTTGGAAGTAGCTGTTACATTAACTTTGTGAAAGACACCAGTCTTAAAGTTAGCAAGACATTAAGCTTTGAACATAAAAATGAATTAAGCAATTGCCTCTTGGAGCTAGTAGTGGAACACTTTGGGGAGTGCAAACTGTTTTCAAGTTAAGTACCAGACTAAATGGCCAAATTGAAAAGAAATGCAAACAAGATTAACATGACACAGGGATTTGTTTAAAGCTATAAAAGCAACCTAGTGAAACATGTTTATGTTTCTTCATTGAAACAAAAAACAGGTTTGGAAAATGGAAAATGTATTCATGACATATGACACTGATCTGATTTAAAACTACAGAAAAGGAAGATAAAATTTAATTGAAGTATCGGATAGGACTGTCTTTTGAGTGTTTGTTTGGAATGTACAAAAAGCTCAATTTGATGCATAAGTGCAACTCCTGTAGTTTCCACTCAGTCCATATCATCACCATGGCCTCCATATATGCAAAAACAGGTTATGCTTTAAGGCTAAGATATTATTTACACTTCCCTAAAATCTTCAAGCCAACAAATGTAGAATTCAGGTTAGCAAACTTCCAGTTACACCCACTGTAGCAAACAGCTTGGTATTCGCATGATACGTAAGATTTTTTCCACAGAAGGGTTTGCTTTCCTGGGCAATCGGCAGGGAAGCAGGAGAGGGTGGGATAGGATGGAATTTCAAAGTTTGGGGGGTGTCATTTGGGGAGTCTATTATTATTTTGTATCCTGTGGGTTGTTTGTCTTTTATTTTAAGCTGCCCTGAGCCTTTGTAGATGGGCCAGGATATAAATCTCAAATAAATAAAATAATATACATTCACTTAGACATTAAATATAAGCATAAGAGGTTTTCAGCATGACTTGCATTATTTCTTAGCATAATCAACTGCTCATCTCAAGAGAAAATCATAAGACTGACTCTTACTAATAATATCTGTAGGGCATCAGTGAGCTGGCAAGTTAATCCTATTTAACTAGATGTCTGTGAGATGGTTGAGTGAGGGAAAAACAAAACTAAATACCCTGAAGAATTTCCCCAACACAAGCACACTTACTTTTAGGACACCATTTGTCTTCAGCCCATCTGTTACAGTTGTAATTGTCAACTGCATCATCACATGTAAAGCACTTAAAGCTGTTTGGAAATGGAGTAGCTTTAAAAATATTAAAATATGGTAAGTTTTTAAATATAAAAAATGTAAACATCAACCAACAAATGCTTTGATTTAACTACATTTGTTAACCAAATACATATATAAACATGGGGGGGTGTATGTATGTATGTATGTATGTGTATACACATATGTGTATGTATGTGTATACACTTGTATAGGTGTACACACACACACACAAACACACACAGAAATTGAGTTGGGGGGAGAAGAACAGACTACTGAACAAATAAAAACTAGTTTGTAAACTTCATAAAAGGTTTTACAATATACCTTAAATTGCAAATATTTGTTAGCCTTTTCTATCTCTCTAACAACTAAAACACAATTAAAGTGGAGGAAAGTGGGGGGCTGGGGGAAAAGGGAGGAAGAGAGACTATATCCCTGCACATACATGCATATTAAGTATGTGCAACAGATATCTGGAGGTGTCTGTGCACATGTACATATGTAGTTAGTCAAACAAATAAGTAGCTTTTGCTTCATTAGCTGAGGCAACAAATGCTTTAAAAGCTCCAAATCCCAGTCCTCCATTTTAACAATTCCTTACAAGGGATAAGGAAAGCTGCTTTCAAATTCAGTTTTACATACTTACTGAAATATAGTTAAATAAATTTTGGCAGCTCTGTATCTAACTTCTCACCTCCGATACACAACTATCTTGACTGCTTTATTCCTTTGTATCACAAGGATCTTATCCAATTGGATGAATAGAAAGAGTAACACAGTGCAAGGTAAAAAGCAGACATGATATCATTACTGTCATTCACGGTTCCTATTTAATTGCTTTCATTTTGTACCGACTTTAAAAGCACACAGCATACTTCAGTTCCCTCCACTGCCTGAAAAAACAGCAAGGTAACACACAGGAAATTCTAGGCCAGATTACTGACTAGAAGTATTCTGCATAATTTACCTTGTAAAATGTACTGGTAATGGTACAATAAATGCATCCAAAAATCTAAAAAACTGAGTAGTTTGGATTACCATATCTTAAATCTGTCTCCATATTCATTTCATTTATACTGCAGTCATATGAACCAGACAAATGTTTTGTTTTAAAATTTATAGGCAATCCCTTATACCTTGAGGGAGCCACTTTATAAGCCCCTGAAAAGAGAATATTGAACTGAAAATGCTGATAGCTAAAATACTAACTTTTGTTCACACACACAAGAAAACCACCACTGGCTACTTACGGTCTAGTGGAGGTCTCACATTATAGAAGTTGATGTTCTTGGCTAGAATCCAATTCCCGGAGAGGACAAAGATCTGAAGGAAAGCTACAGCCAACGTGTGACAGAATAACAGCATAGTGACTCGTTATCGTACAAGGAAATCTAAAACTCTTTTGCCTAGAAAACAAAGACACGCTATTGGGGAGGAACCATAAAAATTGAGAAGGCAGAGAAATAAATGTCTCCTGTAAACTTTATTTGGAAATACAAGGCTCATATTGGTCTCAAATCCAGGAAGATTTAGTGGAAGTAAGCATAGTCTGCTAACAATGATGAGCCATTCAAAGCTGAGCAGCTACTGCCTTCTACTGGGCAGGATCTTGTACAAGATAGCTAGATTTCTACAGAAAGATTAATTAGATTGTGTTCACTTCAGTACTTTGGGATTCGTTCTCCCAGGTAATGTCAGTCTAAGAAATTTGGTTATAAGTGCTAATGGAAAAAAAAACATTTTTACACACTGCTTGTAATGTGAGTTGACATGATTAAAATATTTTAGATCAGGCTAAAGGAATTTCAAGTGTAATTTCAAGGGTCATTTCAATCAGCAATGTAAAATCTGAAATCAAAGCCAGACCCCAAATCTGCATAGCTCTGTTGACTGCAGTGGAGCTATGCCAATCTCTGCACCAGTGCAGATACTGGGCTGATTTGCCATAGCTTGTTTTTCATAAACACACTTGTAGCTGGAGAGAGACAGAATCTAAAACCATAAATATTTATCATTTATATAAAAGAACTGTATCAATCTGAAGTGAAAGCCAAAGTAGGCTGTCGGCATACCACAGATTGGAGCAAGAACCAGAAGATTTTGATTTTCCTGTACCACGGCACACTCAAAACTTTGCCTATGTCAGGATGACCTGGCTTTCGAAGGGACTCTGCTAACCACTTTGTGACACGCATTCAGCCTTCAGCTCACACTTTTCGGAACACTGCATGCATCAGTGACAGAATTTGTGTGAAAATCCATCCATCCCCTGGATTTGCATATGTAAATCCTGGTGTTAACTGAAATAATGTCAGTTTTCATTCTTTGTAAAAACAAGGGACACATGGGGGGAGGGGAAATAAAACCATAAACAATTCTTGCAGTTATTTTTTTAATCCTCTCCTAGTAAAATCTGTCATCTTAATGAATAGGAATTAAATGTGGAGGACTCTAGACTCAGTGGGACTCGGTCACATTCTAAGGCCACCCTTAACAGGTACACAACATTCGAATATGCAGAACGTCAAAGGCAAGGTAGGCCCAGATCAGCCAGAAGAGATGTCGTCAACCTGACTACTCTGGGTACGGGACCTCAGGTGCCATCAAGCACTGAAGTTGCACGATGACACTCAGAAGATTCCTGTGGAAGGGAGATGAGCCTTCATATTTAGGGCTTTTTTTTTCTTGCTCCTGTGTTTCATGTACTTCAAGGAGACTCTTGACCAGCAACCAAGTGGAGATGGACACTTTTGTACATTGGAAGTTTCCAGCTGTGCATCACTTAGGTCTTATGAATCATGTTTATTTTAGAGCAGTGGTTTTCAACCTGTGGTCCATGGACCCCTGGGGGTCTGCAGACTATGTCTAAGAGGTTCATGAAAGATGAGCATGCTAAATCAAAAGTATCTTAATACCCACACTTACAATCTAAAGGGGTCCGCACCTCCATTTGAAATTTCCAAAGGAGTCTGCATCTCCATTCAAAATTGCTTAGGGGTTTGCAAATGAGAAAAGGTTGAAAACCACTGTTTGAGAGGATACCCAAGATACCTGGCTTTGTAAATCACTCCCAGTGTGCTTCCATGACTGTTCCCTGTAGGTCTCCCTCATCTTCCAGCCCCAGGGCCTCACAATAGGGACAAGGAAAGAATCTGAAAGCAAACAATGGCTGCGATCATTATCATTCTGTCTCTGAGCTACTATCCCCTCAGGACAGAATGGTTTTTTTGCTATTGGTAATAAAGGGGGGGAGGGGGCGGGGAATGCACCTTGAGCTCAATAATGTAGTTATTAAAATCATCTGAGCTACCCAGTCCTACCATGAACTGTTGAGGGCCATGCTAATATAGATGTGCAGAGCTCCTGCTACCCCTAGAGCCACCTGCCACCAATCTCACAGGAAGGTTTACTCTCTGAAAGGAAGCACAGAACCAACAATGTCATTCCAGCAGAACAAGTTTCCTTCCTAGTAAAAGACCTGCACAACAACTTTCCCCGATTCCATCTAATGAAACTAAATCAAATTTTAAGGGCTGTTTATGTCAGATGAATACCTGGCTCTTCATCTGTAATCTTATTTATCAAACTTTCCAGTGATCCTGTGATTTAAGATGGAGGTGTTAATCAGCAGCAAGATAATCTCTATAAAGAAAAAAAGGAATGTCAGCTTCCAAGACAGAAGTTAACAATAAAATTTGGACTAACCTGCTCCCCAGGCCACAAATCAGATCATATTGCACAATATTGCTGTGAGGCAGTGTTATGATATGGTGATATTCAAGGGGCCGTGAAGGCAATTTCATGAGCTTGTGAAACTCCGAAAGAGAGATCTGCACAACATGGGATAATCCCATAGCAATCAGGATAAGCATGACAAAAACAAACAAACATATAAATTGGTGACCCTACGACAACTCACCAATGACCCAATACTTTCTCTAATTTACTTTATCCTACCCTTTCTTTTCTTCCTAATACTAACGGTTTATATCAGTGGTACTCTACCATTTTGACCAGTAGGCCAGATGGGCAGTGCCTGGTTTATTTGCAGGCTGGATCCGGCTGGTGGTCCTGATACGGTGCCCAGGGCAGTTGCAGCGGGACTCATCTGACCACGTGGAGTAGCATGGCCCAGCTCCGACCCAGCCACGGAGAAGGAATAGATTCACAGATTCATGGATGTAAGGTCGGAAGGGACCTTGTAGATCTTCTAGTCCGACCCCCTGCCCTGGGCAGGAGAGAAAAGTGGGCTCAAATGACCCCAGCCAGGTAAATGTCGAGCCTTCTCTTAAAGACCCCCAGGGTAGGAGCCAGCACCACTTCCCTTGGAAGTTGGTTCCAGATCCTAGCCTCCCTGACTGTGAAGTAGCACCTCCTGATGTCTAGTCTAAACATACTCTCTAGCAACTTACGGCTGTTATTCCTTGTTATTCCGGGAGGCACTCAGGGGAACAAGGTCTCTCCCAAACCCCGCTGGTCCCACCTAGTAAGTTTATAGATGGCCACCAGGTCCCCCCTCAGCCTTCTCTTGCAAAGGCTGAACATGTTAAGGTCCCATAGTCTCCTCATAGGGTCTGGTCCCCAGATCATGTGAGTGGCCCTCCTTTGGACCCTCTCAATGCTGTCCACACCCCTCCTGAAGTGCAGCGCCCAGAACTGGACACAGTACTCCAGCTGCAGCCTGACCAGTGTCGCGTAGCGGGGGAGGATCACCTCCTTGGCCCTGCTTGTGATGCATCTGTGGATGCAGGACAAGGTACGGTTAGCCCTACTGACCGTATTCTAGCATTGTCGGCCCATGTTCATCTTGGAGTCAATAATGACTCCAAGATTTCTTTCTGCCATCGTGCTTTTGAGAAGGGAGTTCCCCAGCCTATAGGTATGCTGCTGGTTCCTACTGCCCAAGTGCAGCACCCTGCACTTGTCAGTATTGACCCCCATCCTATTTTCATTTGCCCACCCCTGTAACCTGTCCAGGTCCTGCTGTAATCTGTCCTTCCCTTCTAGCATGCCCACCTCACCCCAAATCTTGGTGTCATCTGCGAATTTAAACAGACTGCTCTTCACCCCATCATCCAAGTCGCTAATAAAGAAATTGAACAGTGCGGGCCCAAGGACCAAGCCCTGGGGGACCCCATTGCCCACATCCCTCCAGGTCGAAAATGACCCGTCCACCACCACTCTCTGAGTACGACCCCTCAGCCAATTTGCAATCCATCTGACTGTGTAGGCATCAATGCCACAGTCACCTAGCTTTTTAATGAGAGTGGGGTAGGAGACAGTGTCAAAGGCCTTCCTGAAGTCCAGAAAGACTACATCCACTGCGACACCTGCGTCCAATGATTTTGTGACCTGATCATAGAAGGCAATCAAGTTGGTCTGACAGGACCTGTCCCTAATGAAACCATGCTGGTTGCCCTTGAGCATCATCCCCGCTGCTGACCCATCACAGATGTGCTCCTTGATAATCTTCTCAAAGAGCTTCCCCAGGATTGAAGTAAGACTAACAGGCCTATAGTTGCCTGGGTCCTCCCTCCTCCCTTTTTTAAAGATGGGGACCACATTGGCCCTCTTCCAGTCATCCGGCACCTGGCCAGAGCACCACAAGTGCTTGTAAAGCCATGCCAGGGGCCCCGCGATAACCCCTGACAATTCCCTCAACACCCTGGGATTGAGAGCATCTGGACTTGCTGATCTGAACACATCCAACCCCTCCAGAAGTTCTCTAACCCGGTCCTCCCTGACCCTAGGCTTGGCAAGTTTCTCTTGAGTCTGTCCCAAATCTTGGTAGGGGAGTCCTGGTCCCTGCACAAGAAAACAGAGGCAAAGAAATTGTTAAAGAGGTCTGCTTTCTCCTCTGGTGCGACCACCAGATCACCAAGCATATCCTGCAGGGACTCCACATTACCCGGGGCCTTCTTCTTTCTCCCTATGTATTTAAAAAAGGACTTTTTGTTATCCTTGATCCTTGATGCTAGCCCTAGTTCCGTATCTGCCTTAGCTTTCCTAACAGCCCCCCTACAGACCTGAGCGGTGGAGGTATAGTCCTCTTTGGTGATAGCCCCTCCCTTCCACTGGGTGTACACCTCCTTTTTGGCAATCAGGCATTCACAAATGCCCTTGGTGAGCCAGGGAGGCTTTTGGGCACTCTTGCCCCCTTTGCTTCTTGTTGGGATTGTCACCCCTTGGGCTCTGAGTATCATCTCCTTAAAGAACGACCACTCATCTTGGGCACCCAGTTCCCCTACTCCCCAGGACCCTAGTGCCTCTCCCACGAATCTCCTCAGCTCATTGAAGTTGGCCCTCTTAAAGTCTAAGGCTACTGCCTTGCTGTAGGCCCTTGACACCCTGTGCTGGATGGTGAATTCCAGCAAGTGATGATCACTATCGCCCAGGTGGTTGAGGACCTGGAGTCCCCTCACCAGGTCATCGCCTGTAGCCAGGACCAGGTCCTGTAGGGCATTCCCCCTGGTAGACTGTGCACCTCTTGGGTTAAGTGGAGGTCCTGTATCTCAGCCAGGAACCTCCGTGAGTGGTCAGACCTGGCTGACTGCTCCTCCCAGCAGATGTCCGGGTAATTTAGATCACCCTTACCTTAAGTGCCTCCGCAAGCTGACCCAAGAATTCGTGGTCCACCTCTTCCCCTTGGTTGGGAGGTCTGTAGTAGACCCCCACTGTTAAGTCCTTTTCCCCACAACCCCCCTGTATCCTGACCCAGAGCACTTCAGCTTCCCCCTCTTTTGACCCCATCCTGCTGGCTGAGGATGTGTATTGATCTTTGATGTAGAGCACCACACCCCCGCCTTTCCTCCCTGTTCTATCCCACCTGTATAGCCTATAGCTCCTAATGTTGACTGCCCAGGGGGCAGGAGAGATGTGGCCCAGCTCCAACCTGCTGTGCAGGGCTTGGGGTTTGGAAATTTTGATATTTGGTCAGGGAGAGGGTGACAGTATTGAATGCAACTGCTCTCCTGCTGTCAAATTTCCCAACCTGTGGGGAGCCCCATGGATTAGATTCCACGGCACCATGGACCTCACTTGGCCCATAGGCCAAAGGTGAACATCCCTGGTTTATATCAACATTTGCTCAGAGAGATAATAGTCCCAGTAAAATCTGTATGCTCGAGAATTTCCTTCTTATTTTCAAGCTACTATACAAATAAGTTCCTATAGTAGATGTTCCACTTCCTGCAGTGCTCTTTTTGTTCTGTTGATTACAAGTCACTTTTCTGATTCTTTGCCTCAGTATTTGCTACTGGATTAACAGATTATCTCTGTGTCAAGATGGAATATTTTCAATTGCTCTCCTCCAAAACAGGAAAGAGGAGAGATGAGTTTCTTCTTTGCTTCATTGACAAATAACCCACCCCACAAAAACCCACCCACACTACAGTTTTCAGCTCAAATTGAGACGTTGCATAATATTACAGGTGTTCATTAAGTCTAGGTGCAGACATTTGGGAGGTTAAATCGGGTTTAAAATGGTAACCCAATTTACACTTAGCTCATCCCGGGTGCCAACCTTCTACATACAGACCCAGTTTCAGTGGCCAGCATCAGTCCAAACTTGTAACAGAACAGAAGTTCCACGTACACAAACCTGTCTAAAAAAGTGCAGAACCCAGTTTAAGATAAACCTGGATCTATGTAGTATCAAGCTCATTTGATTTAGATCAAAGAGATAGGAGTGTACCAATAAAGATTTTCTTGGCCAATACTGATAGCTGATTATTCACCTGGCATAATGGCTGATACCGATCCAATTACTGATTTATAGAAATGCAGTAGGGCAGTATGGAGAACAGCTCCCTGCAAGCAAGTACGTGGAGGGGAAGGGGCATGGGGGAGGGAAAAGGTGAGGGAGATAGTGGGGCAGGGGCAGAGGCAAAGGCAGGGGCTGGGGGCTGTGCCCAACCAGGGTGGTGAAAGGGACCCACGGTGGAGGCAGGAAGTAGGGCAGAGCCACGGGCAGCTTGTCAAGGGGATCAGAGTCCCAGCACTTTAAAATGGTGGCAGAGCGATTTGAACTAAAGCTCAGCGAATAAGCTTTAGTTCAAGTGCCACTGCCACCATTTTTGAGTACGGGACACTTTTAACTGGAGTTGAGTGGGGCAAGGGCAGATGCAGGTTGATCACTGCAGGCTCAGGGCTCTCCACCCTGCTGCCTTTGCCCTGAGATCCCTGTGCTGGCCACACATCCCCTCCCCACACAGCAGCAGCAAGCACAACTCACCACCCCGACTGCTGTCAGGCGAGCAAGGGATACACGGCCGGCGCAGGGTTCCCAAGAGAAAGGCAGCAGAGCAGAGAGCCCCGAGGCCACAGTGGGCTGCCTGCATCCACCACACACACAAGTCTGGAGGGGGCATGTGCCCCCCCATGCCTCACCTGGGGGGTGCACACAGCAGTGGGGAGCTGCCCCCCACCCCAACTCCCTGGACAAGCCGCCCACAGCTCCCTGTTCCCCACCGCAGCCCCAGGTCCCATTCACTGCCCTGGCTCTTTCCCACTCCCTCCCTCACCATGGAGGCCCCAATCTGCACCCCCCTATGCCCCTTCCCTCCTCCATGCCCCCTCCCCTCCACAGACTTAACTGCAGAATGCTGCTCTCCATGCTGCCCAGCTGCATTCCTGGCCATGCA